GTCACACCCTCCTCGGGTTTAACAGTTGTAGACGTCTCAGAAGACACACTCTCTGTTGTGACTCTCTCTTCAGGTTTGATTGACGTAGCTTCAGCAGTGACTCGCTCATCTGGTTTCAAAGTTGTGGCCGCCTCTGAAAACACTTCTCCTTCAGTTGTCGTAGTTGACGGAAGCTCTGCTCTGGTTGTTGTTGGCAACTCATCAATTGAGCCCTTTGTGGTCTCCTCCTCAGATCTAACTGTCGTGGGAGCTTCTGATGAGATGCCCTCAGTCGTTACTCTTTCCTCGGGTTTAGCAGCTGTTGGTGCTTCTGAAGACACTCCTCCTTCTGTTGTCATTGCTGGTAGTTCTGCCTTTGATGTTGGGAGTTCAGACACTGCAGCTTCTGTTGTCACTGCATCCTCTGGTTTAAGTGTTGTTGATGCTTCAAAAGGCACACCTTCAGTGGTCACTCTCTCCTGTGTCGTCGAAGTCTCTGTCTGAACTGCTTCAGTTGTAACTGGAAGCTCAGAAATGACTGCTTCAGTGGTCACTCTCTCCTCTGGTTTGAGTGTCGTTGCTTCAGCAGTGACTCGTTCCTCTGGTTTCAAAGTTGCTGTTGCCTCCGAGGACACTCCTCCTTCTGTTGTCATCGCTGGAAACTCTGTCTTTGCTGTTGGCAACTCATCAGTTGAACTCTTTGTTGTTCTCTCCTCTGGAATAGCTGTCGTTGGAGCTTCCGTTGACACGCCCTCAGTCGTAACTCTCTCNAGCTCTGTCTGTGGTGTTGTTGGCAGTTCAGCAGCTTGAGTAGTCACTTGCTCCTGCTCTGGAGTTTTTGGAGTTGTTGCAGTTGTTTCAAAAGAGATCACGCCTTCTGTTGTAATTGAAGGCTCCGTTTTAGCTGCTGGAAGCTCACTTGTCGCCTCACTTGTCACTCCTTCAACTGTTCTGGTGGTCGTTGGAAGTTCAGACGATGTTCCCTCACCAGTTGTGACACTTTCCTCCGGAAGCTCTGCCTTTGCAGTTGTTGTTGTTGTTGGCTGGGAAGAGACGCCCTCGGTGGTGATTTTCATCTCTGGACTTAGCGTTGTTGAAGAAACCTCCTGCTCTGAGATTAAACTAGTTATCGTCGTCGTCTCGCTTATCACCATCGATTTTGGTGTGGTCGTGACTGCCACTGAAACCGGCGGAATATTAAGCAGCGTCTCAGTCACCAGCTCCTCATCACCACCACCCATCTCCATTCCGCCGGGCTTCTCAGTGGTGGCGGCGCCCTGGTCATCCAGACGGACTGATGGCTGCTTCGAGGTAGTACCAGCTGCTGCTGCTGCTGTTGTGCCTTGCTCGTCAGGCTTAACTGTTGTTGAAACCACAAGCTCAATTTTCTCAGTCGTCACCACCACTTCCTCTCCCTGAATTGCCATTGGAGTTGTCGGCACCTCAGTCACTCTGTCCTTCAAGCCGCCTTCTTCAGGAGCTGAAACATTGAAAATTGAATGAGTGACCGATTCAGGCTCCTCTTCTTCTTTGGTGGCTGTGACAGTGGACAGGGCTTCATCAGCAGCAGTCGGCGATGGAGTCGTCGTGAACAGCGATTTCACAGTGGTGATCATGCTGTCAAGTAGTGATGTGGAGGATTCAGGTGTTGCCGTAGTAGAAGACGCCTCTTCTAAAACTGGACTCTTTGCTGTTGTTGTCGTCGTCTCGTTTATCATCGTTGATTCTGGAGTTGTGGTGATGATGGAGACTGAAACCGCTGGAATACTAGGCAGTTGTTTTGTGGTCACCTCATCCTCCTTGGCAGTTTCTGTCGTTGTCACAGCTGCTGCTGATGTAGACGATTCAGGCGTGAGCGTCGTAGAGATGACCTCCTCTTCTGAGACTGGTAGTGCAGTAGAAGTGGTTTCTGGCTGAACTCCTTCAGTGGTAACAGCTGCTGCTGCTGCTGCTGCTGTTGATGTAGAAGATTCTGGCGTGGTCGTTGTAGAGAGAGCCTCTTCCTCCTCTTCAAAACCTGGACTCTTTGCCGTCGTCGTCTCGCTTATTAGGGTCGATTCTGTTGTGGTTGTGATAGAGATCGGAACCGGTGGAGTACTAGTCAGCGTAATTTTGGGAGTTGTCT